CCTGTGGTTTAGAAATGGTTTATGTATGGGCCAGCCCCGTGGCACACTCGGGAGAGTGAAGCGCTGGGAGCGCAGCGACGCTCCCGCCGCGGGTTTGGATCCTATATAGGACTGGCCGGTGTGCTCACTGGCTGAGCATGGTGCAGGTGACACCACACCAAGGGTTGCGATCCCCTTACCGGTCACGAAAAGGACAAAAAAAAAAAGAAGAAAGAAAGAAATTGTTTATGTACTTTATACCCACAAATTTGTGAAATAAAAGTTATGTTAAAACATAAACTTACAAAAAATATACAATGGCACTATTAATAGCTAATATTTACTATGTGCTAGACACTATCCTGAGTGCTTTATTTTATTTTATTTTTATTTTTTGGCGGCTGGCTGCTACAGGGATCCAAACCCTTGACCTCAGTGTTGTAAAGCTGCACTCTGAGTGCTTTCTATCCATGAATTCACTTGGACTTCACAACAAAATGGTTATTTATTATCTTTTCTCCAGAAGGGGCAACTGAGGCACAGAGAAGGCTAGTAACTTGCCTGATGTTGCATATGATAGTGTCAGGACTCAACCCCAGGCAGCCTGGCTCCAGTTCCTATATGCTTATCCACTCTGCCATATTGCATCTGCATTAAATTCAATATTCACAATTTTTTTTGTATAGATGTAAATGCTAATTCATGAGAAAGATCATACCATGTGTACAATAAAAATCAGAAATAGGTAAGAATTATGTCTTTGTAGTCCTTGGTAATGTAAAAAAAAAGACAGCATAATATTAGAAAAATAATTGTCACTTGGAGGATTTGCTCAAACTCCTACAAGCCCAGTGTTCTCATTGTCCTTTTCCAATTTTCATGACACTATCAGATTAGATTTTTTTCAAACTGCTTTAAAAATAAAAACCCACTGAACTGTCTATACATTTACATAGAAATATCAGCTACACATAGCAAGCTATTATAACTTTTGTGATGATATAATCAGAGATTTGTCAGTTTTACACAAATATTTTAGATCATGTAATTACTACTTTTACTTGTGCAACTATAGAATACTTAGTTTATAAAGTTCCGTATGTATTCTTATTTAATTTCATTTGACAGGAGACTTCAAAAGACTTAGTATGGAAGAAGAGAGCAGTAACCTAGGCTTGCATGCAAAAATTTGACCTAATTACAAGATTATAACTTCATATGAAGGGAAAAAAAAAAGGAAATTGACTTATTAAATGCATTGCAGCATACTGTGTGCCTTTTATTCCTGCTTTTCTATGTAGTTAATGTGACAGTGAAAACTAAGCACAGAATATGTTTATCTCTACCAGTCAGGACACACGCTGATAAGGTTGGGCTCAAATCCAGTGGACTTCTCTCTTGTCCATTGTGATCAATACCTCCACCCACTGTCTCCCACAAGGTGTACCCTTCTCCCTGTAAGAAACTAGCAAGAATGTGTAACGTGATCCAACTCCGCGATGTGCACCTGATAAAGATTTTGAACAAAGCAACAATATATATTTTTTTTATCTTTTGCAACAATAAACAAAAACTAAGTTATGGTTTAAAAATAAATGAGTGTTTGTAGGGAGGAGTGAAAGGAATGACATATGACATCCCACATACACTGTACCACACAGCATGCCAACTCTCTGCAAGGAAACGGGCTGAATCAAACCAATACCACCCCATTTCATCTGCTCTAATCAGATGCTGTGTCAAACTCTGCTTAGGGGTGGTCAAAAAACAGTCCTCTTACAATTCTGTAATTATTATTTTCACTAAGGAGATACACACACTCTCACACAAACAGCCTGTAGACTAGAAGAGTAAGGTAGATGTACAGACAGTTATAATAAAAGGGAAATTAAAGGAGTTCAAAGGATACGTATCCAATTAGGGAAGAAGTTTTGCTTGTTAATGCAAAAGATGGCATTTGATGGAATCCTCAAATGCCTGTGGGATTTCAACGTGCAGAGTTACGGAATGAAGTACATGCATTGTAAGCCAAGAGAAAAAGTATTAAATTGAGAAATGCATGGAGTGTTCAAATAACCTTTTGTATCAGTCAAAATCTTCCCTTCCTGACATGACATATGAGGCCCCTCGTGTCTCCCCCGCGACCTGTTCATGACACTTCCTCAATCGCTTCCCAGTGTTTGAGCTACAACCACTCCTCCAAAATGTCCTGCTTTACTTCATGCAGCTTCCTTTTCTGGCATGCCCTCTGCTGTTTTGTGTATCTGCAGTGCTGCCTACCCTGCCCTATTCCTCTCCTTATAATCCTAATGTCTTAGAACTAGAAAGCTCATTAAAGAACATCTGGGACAATTACCTCCACTGTTGCTCCTCCTGCCCTAATTTTTATTTAAGGTTTCTTATTGCCATGAAAACTCCCTCTTGCATTTCTTCTCTTATCCCTGGAAGGTCTAAAATTACTGACAGGACTGGGTCCATTCAGTAGCCAGAGGCAGCTGCCTTTGCTTCCAAATAAGGCCACTCCCTGCTTCTGCCTGACCCATAATTTCCATGAGAGCAATCAACAGGATCAGATGGAACTAACTCTCACTTTCCTTCTGATAGGAAACACCTGTTCTAACAAAAGAGTTCCAGTAATGGAAAAAAAAAAAAAAAAGGGCCGGCCCGGTGGCGCACTGCTACAGTGCGCCGCTTGGGAGTGCTGTGGAACTCCCGCCGAGGGTTCGGATCCCACATACAGACCGGCCGCTCACTGGCTGAGCGAGGTGCGGATGCAACACCGAGGGTTGCGATCCGTTGCCGGTCACGAAAATAGACAAAAAGGAAAAAAAAAAAAGAGTTCCAGTAAAATCTGTTGCAAGTCTGGCTTTGCTATTGGTTAAGTAGTTAAAAATAAACTGATTAAAAGGTAGCATAGAGCAATTCTTTTCAGCTTTCATATGTATATGAAAAACCTTGGAATGTTCTTAAAATGCAGATTCTGGTTCTGTAGGCCTGGGCTGTGGCCTGAGACTCTGCATTTCTAATGAGCTTCCAGGTGATGTCAAAGCTACTGAGGCGACTGAGCCGTCATACACACTTTGAGTAGCAACATTGTAGAGAATACTGGAGAATCTCAAAAGTAGAATCATAGACCATTCCATTGGATTCAATAAACAGTTAAGATATTACTATATGTCAGGCGCTGGCTATTCAAAAATGAACAATGAACAAAAAGACATAGTCCCTCAAAGATTTTATAGTAATGGGGAAATGAATACAGGTGCAGGTTTCAAAACAATGTACTAAGTGCAGGATACTTCAGGTACTTAGAGAAGAGTTTCTTAGCCCAAAGCAACACCTGTGATAGGCAGAGAAACCCCTGAAGGATAGACTGAGACGGAATGGTCAGAGTAGGTAGGAGGAGAACCAAAAGACAGTAGAAACATGGAGACCAAAAGGATAGAAAAGAAATTTCAAAAAAGACTGAGTAGTTAGATGAAATAGAGCCGTCTGATGTGGGCATGGGAGCACAGGAGCCTACTGATGTTCAGCACAGAGAAGGCAGACCTGACCCACCTTGAAGATCATGTAGCCAAACCCCAACATCTTACAAATAAGGAAAATGAGGCCTTGAGAGGAACATAACTTGCCCCAAGCCACATTATTCTTAGCTACAGAATTAGATTTATTGATATCTAACTCAGGACATTAAAAAAAGAAAACCAAAACCAGGAGAGTACAGACAAATGGCAGGTAGCACAAAGTTTCATTATGTAAAAAAATCATACTGGCACTAACAATTAGAAAGGGTCATTAACACCTAAGTCATGCACTTCTTGTTCCAAACACCCTGTTAGGCACTTCACTTCCATTATACTGTTCTATCCCTGATTGGACCCCAAGAAATAGATATTATTCCCATTCTCAAGAAAGAGTCATTTGTGACTCTAGTGGCCTACATGATGGAGGCACATGAGTAACTCATTGCAGGGTGCTGGAAAATAAAGCTTAAGCCCAATAAAGCCCCAACGAAGTGAGCCTTCCAGAGTCCCAGGCCATCATCTCTGGCATGGGATCCTCCTCTGGCAAGCAAAGTTACTCTGTTACTAGAAGAGACTAAGGGAACATTAATAACATGTCTGTATTGTAATTAGACATAGATCTGGAAAGGAAAGCAAATCACTTCAGAAATGAATTTGTTTACTTAGGGTTCTGTTTACAGCTTTTAGTAGATTAGTAGATTTCACTGATTTTATGTCTTGCAAATTCAGTTTGAGGCTGACAGACGTGCTTTTATCATCACTCTTAACTCCTTCGGCACTGAATTGAGCAAAGAAGACCGGGAGACCCTCTATCCCACCTTTGGCAAGCTCTATCCTGAGGGCTTGCGCCTGTTGGCTCAAGCAGACGACTTTGACCAGATGAAGAGAGTAGCGGATCATTACGGAGTACGTGATTACACCAGGTTCCTAAGTGCCTTGTGTTACTTCATCATGTATACTTTAGAAGCCCATGTGACAAAATTACACTGCTTATCAAAGGAACTTAAATTATTTGTAAGGTAGCAAGAAGTGTCTCTTCTTGTAACTCTCTCCCAAAGGAATACTTCAAGTTTCTAGCTCAAGCTCATGTTTTTTAAGGTTCCTGCCAAGCAAGTACTTGTTTAAATCTCCAAGGAGTGGTCATCTGAGCACTTCTTTTGAAGTGCTTGGTAAAGCAAGTTCCCCAAGACACTGTTCTGGAAATGTGAGCTCATGTCAAAGTTATATAAAATAGCCTGACCCAGGGATCTTTCAAGTACCCATTGGGGAAATAGAGTTAGGTACAGAACGTCCATGTGGACTACAGGGGAGAATAAGGATATATTGATTTTTCCACTCCCTTTGCTGAGTGGCCAGAAATCAGGAAAGGGAAGAGAGCTATGTCCTTCCCTTACTCCAGCAGCCAACTGCTCTTGGAGAGCCTGAAGCTTCTCAGCTTAAGGTTATGCACCTCATGCCTGATTCTACTCCCTCTGACTTGCAGACAGTTAGGTACAAACCCTCCAGGTAGCTTTTCCAAGACTAAATGAAACATCCTTTCCTGTGGATTTCTGAAACCCTTTGGGAATGATGAAAGTCAGCAAATGATGCATAAGCCTTTGTAACATCTCATAGGTAATTGCATGAGATTCTAGCATGGTATTAAAATTTGAGCTTCTCCCCAATTTCTACCCCTTCTACACTTGAAATTCCATATGAATTGTATCAATTGTCATCTTAAAGAACCCAAGAACCCACACTGATCAAACCACAAGCACTCATTGAGCCTCTGTCCCGTACCTAGCTATTCCTGAGAACCAGAGTGTGGAAATCAGCTCAAACAGGGCTTACTGAGAGTAGAATTGCTTTTGCTCTTACCTTGTAGCCCTGAATAAGCCATTAGGCTAGAATTTCACCCACACTTTTGTTATCTGGATTTTTTGGTGTTTCCTCAGGAGGCCAAAAATCCTACCAAAAATATTTAGGCCATCTGGTATATATTTTTTTAAAAATAGATGCACAATTCTGTATTGCTAGAAAAATATATTCATATACATTTATAAGAAATGAAAATTTCTTTAAAATTACTCTCTTGTCTTTGTTCTTAGGTATACAAGCCTTTGTTCGAGGCCGTAGGTGGCAGTGGGGGGAAGACTCTGGAGGATGTGTTTTATGAGCGTGAGGTAGGATATAGGTGGTAATGCTATTAACTTAAATACTTTTCTCTTACTGTGGGCTTTATTCTCTTACTTTGGGCTTTCTTCTTACAGCTGATTGGGCTAATTGATTAGGCCTGCTGATAGCTTGACAAGTCAGTGGTGTATTAGTAAGTCCTGCTTGGAGAGCTGGGTCCCACAGCTCACACATAGTGGCCTCACATGGAACTGTCCTATCCAAACAGATGTGAATGCACGCAGCGAAGCTCTGGGAGGAATGCAGCTACCCCAGAATAAATTAACTAGAGATGTAAAGCTAGGATGCCCTCATGACCAAATACTGACCATCCTCACCCTGTTTGGGGCATCTCCATCTCTTCCAGAAGGGCTTATCCATGGTTATAATATAACTCATGGGTACATTTACAACCCTTAAGAATTATTCATATGGAAATACATCCAAAGAGTCTAGATTATTCTCTCTCCTTTAAAAAGGCAGAAGAGTACTTAATTGATTTATAGTCAATTCCTGAGCTACTGTGCTGTTAAACAAAAGGGCTTTTTGGTGGGGGGGAGGGTACCAGGTAGGGTCCCCCAAATCTAGAGAATTTTTCTAGTGTGTTCTATTTATTGCTCTGAAAACACTGGCCCCTCCATCTCAATCTGATTGAAATTAACAGAAAACCCTAAAATTTACCCAAACTGTGTAGTTAGACTGGTTCCAGAAAGCAATTTGAGAACTTTCCTCTAAGGCCTACCTTTCAGACATTTTCCAATAGCTCCTTAGTGTCTGTCTTAGAAAGAAGTAAAAACAATGCAAATTATCTGATTTATTAGGCATGTTTTAAAACTCCACACTATTGCACCACTGCTGCAAAAGAAGCTATTAAGGAAACTTCCCTTGGCAGGAAAAACGAGTGTCTGTACCTGAGAACAGAGATGGCCTCTGCTTCCTGACTACTTTGCTTGAGGTGTTTAGAGCTGCATGAGGGACTTAGTACCTCTCCTCCTTTTTTCCACTCCAAATGTCCAAATGGAGAAGAATAAAGGAATTGTTCCTTGGCAGGAAAAACGAGTGTCTGTACCTGAGAACAGAGATGGCCTCTGCTTCCTGACTGCTTTGCTTGAGGTGTTTAGAGCTGCATGAGGGACTCAGTACCTCTCCTCCTTTTTTCCACTCCAAATGTCCAAATGGAGAAGAATAAAGGAATTGTTCTATTTCAGACATTACTCCAGTTTTTTAAAAAAATTTTTGGAAAATTTTTCTTTTACTTACCTAACTTATGCAGAGTGTTCTAAGAAATCTCATAATATCACTCAGACTAAATTCCAGGGGCCTGTGACATTCCTTGGAAGGAAGTTAGGCAACCTAAAAACCTTTTTAAAAATTTAAAAATTGTGGCCAAGAAGGAATGCTTTACCTAAAAGAGACAAGCCCACTAGCTAGAAGCCAGATAAATACTATTACAAAGTTGCATGCAGACCCCAAAGTTCTCCTGGCAATCTTTGTGCTAGCAGTGCTGCTTAGATTTGGAGTTTCTCTTGTGATTCTACAAACTTACTTTTTAAACTACTGCAATCTACATTTATCTGCCGAGTTACACTTCCTTCTAGAACTTGCTGAGCTGTCACTGTTTTCCTCTGTTTGGCCTAATTTGGATATTGTCTAAGGAAGACATACAAATGGCCAACAGGTACATTAAAAAATGCTCCATATCACTAGTCATCAGGGAGATGCAAATTAAAACCACATTAAGATATCATCTCACCCTAGTTAGACTGGCTATAATCAAAAAGACAGAGAAGGGCCGGCCCGGTGGCGCACTGGATGGTGCGCCGCTTGGGAAGCGCGGCGGTGCTCCCGCCCGAGGGTTCAGATCCCACATACAGACCGGTTCCCGCTCACTGGCTGAGCGAGGCGCGGGAGCAACACTGAGGGTTGCAATCCCGTTGCCGGTCCCCGGTCCGGTACGGGGGCAACACTGAGGGTTGCGATCCGTTGCCGGACACGGAAAAAAGACAAAAAGACAAAAAAAAAAAAAGACAGAAAAACAAATGCCAGAGAGGGTGTGGAGAGAAGGGAACACTCCTATACTGTTGGTGAGACTATGAATTAGTACGACCACCATGGAAAACAGTATGGAGGTTTCTCAAACAACTACCGGTAGATCTTCCGTATGATCCAGCAATCCACTTCTGGGTATATACCCAGAAAAGTGGAAATCATCATGTAGAAAGGATATCTGCACTCCCATGTTCATCACAGCTCTGTTCACAATATCCAAGATATGGAATCAACCTAAATGTCCATCAATGGACAACTGGATAAGGAAAATGTGGTATATATACCATGCAATACCATAACAAAGAATGAAATTCTCCCATTTGCAACAACATGGATGAGCCTGGAGAAACTTATGTTGAGTGAAATAAGCAAAGCTCAGAGGGATAGATACCACATGTACTCAGTCATATGTGGGAGCTAAGAGAGAAAGAAGAAAGGAAAGAAAGACCACAGTGGTGCGTTGGACTTGTAGAGGGAGAGAGCATACCTAGGGATATAAAGTGGAGTGGGGGGAGGAAGATGGGGAGGGAAGTTGGAGATAATTGGGAGGATAATTGGGTGGGGGACAGAGGGTATAAACACAGTTTGTGGTAACGGACATACTGCCAGTATGGATCTGGCCATTACTTCTTAGGCACAAGTGGTGACAATTTGCTCTGTACCACATGAATATTCGTAACCAATAAATAAATAAATAAATAAACACTGCACAAGCCAGTCTGTAGCTTAATATTATTTCATAAATGTAGTGAGTTCCAAATGAATTGATGGTCCATGTTAATTTTTTCCTTCCTCAGGTACAAATGAATGTGCTGGCATTCAACAGGCAATTCCACTACGGTGTGTTTTATGCTTACGTGAAGCTGAAGGAACAAGAAATGAGAAATATCGTGTGGATAGCAGAATGCATTTCACAGAGACATCGAACTAAAATCAACAGTTACATTCCAATTTTATAAGCCAAGGGGGGGCCTCAAATGCAGAAAATCGTAAACGTTAAAAGGAAGTTATTGAGGAAAATAAAAGGAATGTATTATAGGATCCAGTTACACAAAAGTAAGCCACACTGCACCTTCATGAATTGCAAATCCACTGGAAACAGAGTAAACTAACCCTGAAATGAAGCATTTGTGTCTTTGTTTTCAGCAGCCTTAAATCTTGTTTATGTCTCATTCTTCACTGGGCCTTAGACATTAATTTTAATTAATCTCGTGGTACATTTCTTGTTCTTGTTTGGTCATGTTGAAAATCAGACCTAATAAAAGTGTTTTATTCTTGATTTTTCATGTTTCTCCACAGGCAAAATACTGAGTGTCTGCTTTATTTTCAACGGTCTGTTCCTTGCCTAGGTTCACAAAGATCCAAAGCTGTATGTAGCCAACATGGACCACAATTGATGGGAGATGTATTTTTTTCCTAAGACACTTTGATCTGGTAGGCTTGAGGAAAACTACACAATTTCAAATCATATTACCTAGATGCAAGTTGTGTTAGATTTGTTAATAAACTAGTTTCTCACAACTTTCTTTAAATAAAAGATATATCTCTTTTTTGTGGTTTCTTTGTACTTCACCCAAGAAGAAAATAACCCCACTAATTGTATTCATTTATTCAGAAGCAAAAATCACAGGTTCAGTTTGCAGAGAATGGATTATCTGTAAAACCTCAGTAGAACTGGTGCATAGAGCTACCCAGAAAAATAAAAAGCAACAAAACACTGCTCAATTCCTTTCTTTAAATATAAAGGATATTCCTGAATATAAAATCTGTATATGCTACGTTCTTAAAATTAAACATATTTACATATTTGAAAATTTACCAAATGAGAATATTTACAGAAAATAGACATATACTGTTATCTAGAATTTGGTACATAGACCAAGAAATAAATCAATTTTTCTGCAAAAAATCCACCTTAAGTAAAATATTTTACTGATAAGGGTTTTTAAGCATAAGGAAGAATTGTTGCAATGTGAAGAACTTGCCTCAAAGTTTCAGAGCTTTTCAGTGGCTGAGCTGGGATCAGACTACTCTGCCATGCTTCAAGGAACTAGCCTACAACAAAGAACATGAACCTTGGAAAAACATTTTATTGTAAGAAATAAGGCCCAAAAGCCAGGTAATAGAATGTGGAATACAATGAGGCAAAAATGTATTTCTTGTTCTGAGTGATTGAAGCTGTGGCTCCTCCCCATCCCTTCCCCACCCTCCTCCCAACATTTCATCAGTCCCTCAAGTTTCCTCCTCTATGGTCTCCTGCGATTGGTCTCAGAACATCACATTCCAGTGAACTCTATACCCAGAACTCTACAGTCCCGCCTGTACACTCCATGGTCTTCGGGCCACTCCCACCCCTCTCCACATCATTCCTTCAAGTATTGCTTTCATGGGCTCACAAGTCCTTTATCAGTCTGTCCATGACCAGTGACTTGTTACGTCTCTAAGGACTTGTTGAACCTCTAAGGAGGTTTTGCAGTCAGAGAGTTGTGGTGTGCTATGGGATGCAAATATAGCAGTTGCAATTCTCAGGACCTTTGGAGAACATCTAAGAAGATGCTTTAGGAATGAGGAACACTGACTGTGGGCAGGTGGAGTTGGCCATACTGAATCTGGGTGAGTTTGGTCCAAGTCTAAGTATGGTTGGACAATGAAGGAATTCAGTTAAGCAGTCTGAAGTGCTCCCTCTCTCAGCATGGCAACAATGTAATATGACATTGAGAAGATTAAAAGAAGTCTTCATAGAGTGAAAAAAATCTTGGTGATGATCAGATTTAGTGGGTTTCATCAATAGTAACTCTTAAGTCAAGCACTTCAAAAAATGCTGTTAATAATGTCTTAGATCTCACAGGTAAGACTTGGAAAAGTTACATTTCCAGTTTCACTCTGTTTTGTCTCATGTACTTTCATGAGCAGACATTCTCACTATTGTGTGATTCACTTTATTTTGAGTCACTTTCTCTTTACTTCAGCAAATGGAATCATTAATAACTTCTTTATATTGAGTAAGAATTGCTGGGAAATATATGTGACATTATCAGAGGACATCACTCTTCCTGATTTCATCCCTATGTCTCACAAAAGCTGAACCCAGGAGTTTTGATGTCATTTTGGATGACTGAATAGTCATAAAATGATACGTTTTATATATGCAAAAAACTAGGCTGTAGAAACAATAATAAGGCCAAACCACCTTCACTAATTAATTTCTACTCTCTCACATCTTCATTATTCCATCTGACCTCCCATCAGTTACTTTTCCACTCGCTCCCCTTCCTCCTCAGGCACTTTGGGCTGCAGTTTTCAGCCTCCACCACTGACTGAAGGCTTGATCACTAAATTGAAATCCAGCTCGCCACAGCACTGCTCAACACGGACGATATCTGACTGCTTATGCAATGGAAGGAGAGTTGGAATTTTCTTCGGAAAGAAAGGAGATAAGTAAAGAAGACGCATGTAGAGACCAGTGTGCATATCAATATATTAGGAAGAAATTGTCCCCAGCGAATTATCACTCTAACCAGATCAACAATGCCATTTAAAAGCAGGGATCATGGACAGAATGTAAAAGTACATCAGTAGCTCTGTAGCTAGTAGACTTCTGGTTCCCCTGAGACTGGTGGTGCTTGCTAGCTAGTGTGGATTTCTTAATGACAAGATGGCAGCACCAGATTCACTGAGATTGAATCTAGCTCTTCAGTGGTGAAAATCATTATTATCTTCTGAACAAAAGCACGTCTAGATTTTAAATAATTTATAAATTTTCTGATTCTACTTTTGTAGTTTTGTTTTTAATTAAAGCATCTAATCATTTCTCGACTCATCTAATGCTGAGATGCATATTTCATTGTGTAAGATGCTCACTGTTTTACATTTTTGGTTTGTTTCCATTTGGGCTTTCTTTTTAAAATTTTGTTTTTCATTTAAATATACGAGAGGATACTAATGTATTTCAGTTTATTTCTGCAGCATCAGGAATTTTTTTTAATTAAAAAGCCATTATTTTGAAAATAAAAAATAAAACAGAGCTAAGATTTTAATAATCTTCATGATTACACATTTTTTAAAATTTAATAATATATTTCCTAAGATTTGCAGAGGCATGCAAGTGTGGGTGACCATGAGTCCCAGCTCCGAGAGTCGACATCATGTGGTTGTACAGATGAGGATTCATTCTGTTGGTGTGTTGACAGTGGTGTATGCTCAGTAAATCAAAAGTCAGATTAAAAATCACAAGTCTTTTCAGTCAAAGGATCACAGAAAAAGATCTGCAAGATCTGTACATGCAAATAAATAAACAAATTATATTATAGGAAATTAACTCTTCACAGTTTAACTGTACCCTGTGCTGCATGTATTTCTGTGAAATATTGTGATTATTTTGGCTATAGAATTCAACATGAATCCATAACCATGACTTTAATCATTTGGGTTCACATACCGTTTAAGAATCGGATGAGCACTATAGACACATTCTCTCAGAATAATAGGCATCTGCACATCCACCCAAAATTTTGGATAATGTATGAAAGGACTGTGTGCCCTCTAAAATCCATTCATGACCAACCTAAAGGTCTATAGACTCCAGGTTAGAAACCTCCATTGCATAGTCTGAGGAAATGACAGGTTAGAAAGTAATGGATGGGGAAATATTTTAATTTAAAAAATAAAATATAGGAATTCATATACCTTTCCCATCTCTTAGAAGGGCATCTTGTTGAGCTGAGCAAGCAGCCTTCAGACAGAGGCACCTGCATAGGTGGAGCAAATCCCCCCCAATCCACCAACCAGCCATCGGTCAGACATGTCAGTCATAAAGATGGTGAAGGGGCCAAGGTCACAACCAGTTTGCTCTCATACTAAATTGAAATTATAATCTGAAGCATCCGTACTCTACTTCTTAAAACTATAGATGTTTCTATCCATCAAATGCATTATCCAATGCCATTGGTTTTTGCAAGAAGAGTACGTGAAAACTCTATGAATTGGTTAAAAAGATAAATGCTGACCAGCTAATATTTCCTGATGGAAATCTCCAAGACTGAATGATCAAATGGGAAAAATTACTTTTAAGCCTTCACTTTGCAGTGACATAAAAGAAAATTGTGCACTCACATTCCCTCATGGCACCTAGAAATCAATCATTTCTATCTTTTTAGTCATCTTTTATTGCCGAAAGCCAAATAAAAGTAAGTCAAGTGGAAGAGTAAAGAGTGAGCAGGACAGATGCATAACCTCCTCAGTAAATATTATCAATCCAGGAAGAGCAGGTGGAAATTTAAGTCAGTATATTTCCCAGAAGATAACATATATCTTTATGTTCAGGAAGTAGTCTATGCCGTCCTGCACTGATGAGGCCGTTTCCAGGCAAGACTGTAAAGACAGCAATTGGATGTAAATCAAAACCAACTGGACACACTGTTAACGGTCTTCCCAGCCACATGCAAAGCATAAATTGGCTTAAGACAGGAGTAAGTTTAAAATACGGGAAGGAAACAGCAGGAAGAAAAAAGATGCCTCTAAAAATAAAGTAGCTCCTTACTAGAGGTGGGAAAGGGAGAAGATGAGGGAGGATTACCAAGAAATTGGTAAAGGGCCATAAAAAAATGATTACATTGTAAAGTATTGAATAAACTAATTATCCTGATTTGAGCATCACATATTGTACACAGGTATTGATATTCAATGTGGTACCACACACATATGTACAATCAATTGTGTTTCAATAAATAGATAAAAAAAAGTAAAAATCATCAGTCAGTCCAGAGAAAACCTCAACAGAGCATATGTGACCTTTTTCAAAATTAGCTCTGGGTTGGAGCCATGATAATAGCCTACTTTGAGAGATAACTTACCTGAGGAAAAAATAAATAAAGGCACTTCTTGTGGATGTTGAATGAGAAGTATACACTTTTTAAGTCAAGCTAATGCTTTAACATATTTTCCTCTAAGTTCTTTTGATGTTTTCCTTATGTATTTTCCCAGTAGGACACGAGTACTACAAGCACTAAATTTAATTAGAAAAGAATAGACTCAGAACAAGCAAATAAATGCTGACTTTAAATGTAACTCACAGGCACTATGGAAGCAACAGGGTTTAACCTCTTGGAGACCAAGGGAAGG